TCGTCATACGCATATATATTCAATAAATACATTCAATAAGCAATAAGTTTTCTTTCGAATAGTAAAAGTAAATAGTAATTCACTTTAAGTGGATGTTTGAGGTTTATCAATAGCAAAATCTTTACTGTTGAATACCAAGGAACGAGGACTTGAAGTGTTTTCCTTTAAAGTAGGACCTTTAACCTACCGTTTACATTCTTTTCTGATGTTGTTATGAGAGTAACCCGCCCGTTGACAGATTCTCCACTGTAGTAAACTCCTTCGGAGCGATCGAACTCAAAAAAACATTTCGAAGGCATTTTGCATTAATTTATTTCCATGAATAGTCTTTACTTAAATAGAAAATTAATACTTAATACCAGACAGGCGCCTAAAGCAAACTGAAATCCGAAATTCATGGTCCTGAGGGACCTATAATGTTTCTGACATCATCGCATCCCTAAGAAAAGGAGGGAACCACGGAGAGAGCTTTCGGGTTTGCTCTCTCTGAAAATTAACTTGTTGAATATGCAGTTTGCCGCCGTTTGTCCCTACATCGCTGTTTTGATACAAATTTCTTGGTGAAGAAATATTATCACAATTTCGTTAGGCTCATTTAAAAATTTCGTCTGCTAACCAAATCATTAAAAATAAATTGTTTAAGTATATATATTTTATAGATTCCTTTTGAATTTGATGAAATTGTAATCATTCCGCAGGGATTTATTTATTTGGGTATAACGATCATATAAAAATGTAATATTATTAAAATTATTACTTCAAGTAAATATTTGAATACTTCCAAAAAGATACTTTTTGAGTTTTATAATATTCAGTAAAGTACAGCACTTAACTTATTAGAATTGAATTTTTAATTTTGCTTTATCAAAAGCACAAATACTTATTTATCAAAAATGTTTGTAAATTGTTTTCAGTAACTAACTAAAGTATAAGGCCACTTTCTTAAAATAGCAAATACTTAAAAAACATTAAGCAAAACAGTAAACATTTTTTGGGTTAAGATTAGTTTGATAATGTTTTCTGTCTTTAATATCTCATTCTAAATATTTGTATCATGTCATTTAATGTTTCTTTTTATTCCAGTTCTTATATTTAAAATTCCTGAGTGTTGGTTCTGAAACATCAAGTGAACATACTAAAAAAGTTTGAAATAAAAAATTGCTAAGCTATATAAAAAGTACTATGCACTTTGGGGCAAATTAATATCCTTTGATGAGATTTCGTCTAGTAGCTTCTGTCTAAGAGTTGGAGTTCCATCCGTAAGTTATGGCAGGGCGATCTGTGGAGTTTCCATCGTTCGGTGGGGCGGTAGCATTATGAGGTAGCGAAAGAACGGGAACGGTTTGTGAGTCCGATCCATCAGTGGGTGGAGGAGGGGCAGACGGCATGGCAAAGTTGGTGTACATCGGGTAACGCGGAATAAAGTCATCCGTGCGATTGTGCTCATCTACGTCGATGTCGATAAACTTTTCTCCAAAGTTGGTAGCATCTTCGAAAGTAGGTGGTTCTATAAGTAAATATAGATAAATAAGTGATTAAATACTTGTGTAAAATAAGCTTAAGCCTTTGCCTTCACTAATTACTTACTGCAGTTATCGTAGCTGGGAGGCAGATCTGCGGCAGCTCCAGCCGGAGTGCCCGGTGTTTGGGGTATCCACTGTGCTGCACTTGCTGGATTCTCCGCGCTCTGGATCAATGGAATGGTACCTATGACAATCGGCACCTCAAAGTCCTTGTCCACGTGGCAGTCGCCTGTGCTAATTGTAAGGATAACTTGATAGCTGATCGATATGATGCCTTCGGATCGAGAGGAGGGCGGTACCGCCGGAATAGCCAGCGTGCCTTCGATCACCCTCTTAGTGAGCCTCAGCACCCTCTCCTGCTGGCAACTCTTATTCAGGCTGTGTTCCTTCTCGCGGGTTTTATGGTGCGGAGTTTGGGCCTGGAACCGGTATATCTGCTTCAGCTTCACTTCTATACCATCCAGATCATAGCCGCTTGATTGGTTGTCGATTTCCAGGGTGAAGCGGATCCTCTGGCCGGGTGCGTAGCCCCCGAAGGGTATTGTCAAGGTCGAGAGCACTGGACCCGAACTGCAAGGCCAACAGCAAAAGTGCTTGATGTCCTCGCGCACCAAAGGCATCTATGAAATAAGATGGAATATATTTTGAATTAATTAACATAATTAATTTCCTAAATTGATTGAAACCTTATTGGAGATATCATTGTTCCCATTCCATACAAATATAAACAAGTATAGTAAATGTGTAATACATTTTTAAGGTCCCATTAATAGTATAAAAATTTGAAAATGCAATACAGTAAACATTTTGTTGCAAATCATGCTTAATCGGATTCTCATCATTTCGAAAATCATTAGTCCATTCTTACTTTATTTGTACCACAGTTTTATAGTTTACCATTTCATTTATCATTTTTAGTAAATGTCTCTAAAGACCAATAAGTTTGTATGTTAATGAAAGTGAAACACTCCTTTTTTTTATTTTCATCCCACAATTTGAAATAATTATTGCTGAGGCTACGTCCATTGGACACGCAACATACTCGCACATATATGCATCTATGTGACTCATTAGTGACTAAATTTCGCTAGCAGTCCGAAAATATAAAATGCACGGTTATCTGCCATCGATTTCACATTTTATATTAAAATTAAGTACATTTCTGTTTTTGAGAACGTCTCATTTGAACTCACCAGTAACTGAGGACTCATGTTGAGATTGTAGGTTTGTATCACAGTGAGTGGCTGCTTGAAGACGTTATTGAAGCGCCATTGGCGATCGATAACCACGGATACTTCATAGCAGATCTTTCCGTACTGCGCTACCATTGACGAGGGGCATTGGAGGGGCAGGGGAATGCAGAAGTTATAGGTATGAGTACCAGGTGGAAGATTTCCGGATCCAAAGACGGCAGTGCGAGTATTTAGGTACGTCTGCCTGCCCCGAAAATGCTCTGTGTAGTGCTCCGTCTTCCCATTCCTGGTCCTGGTCCGGCTCTCGTCCCACCGCACCTTGGCCTCGCCCTCGAAAAGAATGTACACCTCTAGGAAAACAAAGAGAGAAATAAGTCCAGTAGCATAAGATCATAGGCGACAAGAAGGTATGGCCAAGAAAGTGCTGATAACAAATGCAAATAGTTCTAAATCTACATATATACGAATATTCTTTTATTTGTATTTCAATAACGAAGAAGATCCATAATAGTGCTCAGTTGTTGCTATAATTCCTAATTCGATTGGCAACAGTGGGAAGAAGATAAGTAATATCTCGAGTGGACTGGCCTGCAGTTTACCCAGTGTATTAAATACTTGTTGCTCTCTTATCTCTGCCAGTTTTATGTATACATACAAGAGTGTTCTTATTCGAAAGCTTTATTTTTTGTTAAAACAGTCAATTTAAAGCCAATAGAAATATTCACTACATTTGTTTGATGATTGCGTGTGGTACGAGGGGGCGAGCTTAGATCATCAGAGCATTGCCAATATTTTAACAATTCGCATATGGAATTAAGCACTTCAGATAATTAAAGCCATATAAATGATCGCTGGAAAGCCCCTTACATAAGAAGTGGGACACTTTGCGGCATTTCCATAAGCTTGTTTTGTTTACTACCTTATATTAAACCGGCTTCGTATTATCACAGAGCTAACAGTTATTACAATAGCGATAAGGGGGAAGTTCAGCTTTGATTTTTACTCACCGTTTACCGACTTCTCGGATGTGGTTGTCAGAATGGCTCGCCCATTGATCGTTTCTCCACTGTAGTAAATCGGCTCGGGTCGATCCAGCTCAAAGGAGCAGTTTGAAGGCATTTTACACTCTTTTCGGTTATGATAACTTATGGAATTTATATATTATATTATAATATTTAGAGCCGACAAGCAAATGAAAAACCTATTCAGCACCAGACAAGCGTCGCACCCGAAGTGAGATACTCGTAAAATATGAGAATTGCCGGTCTGCAAGAGCTAAGTTATTTGTGACATCATCACTTTTTGAGAGCAAAAGCTATACGGAGTTGAAGAGAGAAAGAGCGGGAGCTTTGGGGCCTGCGCTCAGTAAAAACTATCTTAGAGAATATCGCACGCTTTCTTATATTTCTCTCTCTTTTGTTCTTACACCGACATTCGCTTTTTGTTATGAAAAATAAGGCCAAGGAATGTGAAAACTGTAAACAGAAATCAGATGTTTTCGCAATGAAAACTGAAACTAGTTCATAAAAGTATATTAAATGTATTAACATTAAGGAAATGTTAAAGTGTATTTAAAAATTTTAAAGAATTTTTGTATTGAGTTTCGTTATATTCCACGTACCGAGACACTTTTTATTATCATTTTTATTAAATTTAGTATATAAAGTGTGTCTAGTAGATACCTTATTTTGACGAGGTAGTCTTGGTATCGTTTATTTTACTACTGCTTGCTTATCCTTAAGAATAAGTTAATAATAAATTGATTTTTTTTAATATTAAGGCAGCTAATGTGTTTAGTTACAGCATATTTAATTAGTTCTAAGCTATGAGAGAATAAACGGTGGAACATTATATTTATATTAGTTTTTTCCATCTTTCTTGCGTTGTACTTTTTACGTTTAGCCTCGAAGGGAAGGGGTTTTTTAATGGAAAATATCGTTAAGAATATAAATATTGTAACTATTTTTAATTTATTTTAAATATCTACAAAATGTATAAGATTTGAGGTAGATGTTAAGGTCTATAAATAGGCGTTCTAACTCTATAAAAATACAGGCAGCTCATAAAAATCTTTTTCGATTGAAAAGGCATTTTAGAAAAACTAAACGTCACGTTGGTGCTGAGGCCGTGCCAAAATTGGTATACATAGGGTAACGTGGTATAAAGTCATCCGAGCGATCTTCCTTGCCCACATCAATGTCGACAAAGTGCTTGCCAATAATTAAAGCCTCTTCAAAGGTCGGGGGTCCTGTTAAGGCGGAAATTAATTGATCATTATTATAAGATATGACAATAAAATCAAAGTAAGTACGTACTGTAATTATCGTAGCTGGGCGGCAAATCAGCTGAGTCTTCGCTTGAAGTATCCGGTTTTTGGGGTATCATATCTGCTGCACTTGTGGAATGTTCTGCGCTCCGAGCCAAGGGAATGGTGCCAATGACTATCGGCACGTACAAATCGGGATCAGTTTGGCAATCGTTTAAGTCGATGTTCAGAAGCACTTCGTAGCTCACCGACAGGATGCCATCATTAAGGGAGGTGGGTGGTACTGCGGGAATAGCGAGCGATCCTTCGATTGTTTTCTTTGAGAGTCGAAGAACCTTTGCCTTCTGGTAGTTTTGTGCCAGGATGTGGCCTTTCTCAACCGCGAGATATTCGGGATTTTGTGCCTGGAGCTTGTAGGTCTGCTTCAATTGCATATACATGCCGACCAAATCACGGCTACTCGATTTGTTGTCAACTTCCAGGATGAAGCGGATATTCTGGCCGGGTGCATAGCCTCCGAAGGGTATCGTGAGTGTAGAGAGAACTGGGCCCGATCTGCAGTGCCAGCAGCAAAAGTGTTTATAGTCCTCGTGCACCAAAGGAATCTAGGGAATCAGAAATTAACAAATTTTTTATTCTATATAAAAAAATATATACAAATATTGAAGAACACAACTCGTTTTAGTTGAAATTTTGTTCTTTCATGTAATTTTGGTAATCAGTAGTCTTGAACTTACCAAGAGCTGAGGGCTCATGTTAAGGTTGTACATCTGCAGCACCGTCAGAGGCTTCTTGAAGACTTTGTGCTTAGGTTCCTGATGGTCGATGCATACTTTGATCTCGTACCAGATCTTGCCAAACTCCATCACTATCGATGAGGGGCAATCCACTGGCAGGGTAATACTAAATGGGTAAGTGTGCGTGCCAACTGGGAGCGTTCCCGAACCGAGCACATTGATTCGGGTATCCAGGTAAGTCTGCGTGCCACGGAAAATTTCTTGTCCTGTTAGGGACAATTCCCTTTGATCTTGCCACCTGACCTTTCCCTGGCCCTCGAAAATTATAAAAATCTCTAAAGAAAAAAACAAAAAGACGGAGGAAAAATGATAGATGAAACAATACGATATATCTTACTATATATCTATATTTGTAGATGTATATATTTTAGACTTCCGTAAGTAAATCCATATCTCTAATTTCATATCTCTTAAAAAATTAGGGACTTGGTTTGATAGAAGCTTTCTAATAGTTTGTTATTCTTTTAAAAGCTTTTTGATGGCTTTCGGTGCTGAAATACAATTTGCAACCACGTGGGTTATGAGTTCATGTGCACCAGACCGAAGTGCGTCAACAATTCTACTTCGTTGAATATAATATTAAGCACTACGGGAAATGGGAGTTAAAAAAGTTGAATAACATTCACAATACAGCACTGAAACCCATAATTATAATTCTTACTAGACCGTACCATTGACTATATATTCCTTCTTTGTTGTAAGGTTAACACACCCACTAATTGTTTCTCCACTATAGTATACCGGATCGGATCGATCGAACTCAAAAGAACAGCGCATTTTAAAAATATTAAATAGCAACGAAGTATATTTGATTTATGGGTGCCGGTTTCTGTAATAATAACATTGAGCACTAGACAAGAGTCAGACTGAAACTGAGAGGTAAAATGAGTTTTGGATTTCTATTTCAGAGAGCGACAGTTTGTTTAGGTTTATAAAGATAGCGAAAGAGAAAGCTTTGGGGACTCTCTCGCTCCCAAAATGCTACTTTATAGTTTTGTTTGTAAACAAATTTGAGGTGTTTTGTTAATAAAAGCTCACTGCCAGTTGTAACTGAGAGTGCAAATTGGGCCAAGTCAAAACAATGTTTTTGTACCTTTGAAACGCTTACGTTATACCTTTATGTTATAATTTCAAATAAAAGTTTACAATGCAGTAAAGGGGATATCTCCGATATCTCTATAGTGGTGTAGTATTTATTTATGTGGGGTTTTATTTATTATATTTAAGTTTATATTATATTTATTGATTAACTCAAGTTTATGTTACACTATTTTAACTAAAACTTCGTCAAGTCATATGTGTTTCTCATTGGCTCGTCTTGTTGCAGTCACTTCTTAAATCGAACTCTGCGTCTTATTAGCTCCTTACTGAGTATGTACGTCCTTTCGTCGTCGCATCTTTTCATCAACTCCGCGATCCTCATGTTGCTTTTCGTCGCTAGCATCCTTCATCTCGTCGTTGTTTTCTTTGTCTGCATCTTGACCATCTCCTTCGCCAGATGGTTACTCGGTTTCTGCTTCGTTGTATAGGGTCTTGTTCTGTTCTTCTACCCATTCCCACATATACATACATATACTTGTTTTTTCTATTTAAAAGGGTACATATATACAAAAATTAATTTTAAAAAATTTCAAATAATCTTCATTGTTGATTTACAAATATTCGACATTTGTATAATTCCATAAAGATTGGGAGACAATTAAAATCAAATCCTTGTTTTTTGAGACTAAGAATCGTACCTTTTAAGACCTAATGCAAATAACTAATGTTATCTCTTTACTCATTTTCTATTTATATTTTTTAATTACACCAATAAATTGCAATTTTTAAAAATTGTAAATAATGGGAAAAAGCGAGCTATCATAACAATTTTGTTTAAAGCCTTCGAAGACTTGACTTTGGGTGTCTGTGCCATTATCGCAATTTATCGCATATCAGCCAGTAGACACTTTTATATTCTTGTTTGTTTATTTACCAATCCGTAGGTATGTGTAGATATACGTATAAACATTTTGGTTAGTACAACTGGTGGACCGCAAAAGAAATAAATACTGCCGTGATAAGATATAGTCGTGATTTTGCGCGATAAACGCCTCAAATCTGCACGGGCGACTCCACGGGCTGTTTCTCCTGACGTTGCTTCGTCTGGCCAGGTTCTGCGGGTCGTCTGCGGCGTCGACGCCGTTTCTTCTGCGGAGGATTTGGCGGCGGGCTCTGGAAAGTGTCCACATCAAAGACTGGGTAGCGGGGAGTGAACTGGGAGGCCTCACTGACGGTATTGGCATCCGTGTCCGCAATATCAGCGGTCATGAACATGGCCTGCTCGTATGTTGGGGGAGCTGTAAAAAATCAGAAACAAGATAAGTTAAATGTCTTTACGTGAAACAAAATATTAAACTCACGTAAATCTGGTACAAAATCGTCAGCCTCCTCCAGTTCATCGTCTCCATCCTCCGGCAGCTCGAAGTCCTCAAGATCCTCGCTCATCTCGTAGGCGGAGTTGTTTACTCCGCTACTGGCCATTCGGACGAGTTCCATTGCCCTCGTAGAGGTGCAGGGTAAGTCGGCTGGCAGACCAGCTGGCTGGCTTCCAGCAGAAATGGCGTTGGCTGGCAGGAAGTCCGGTCCCGAAACCGCAGTGGCCAGCGGTACATTGCCAATGGTTACGGGGATGACAACCCGAGGATTGGACATCAGCCAGTTCATCACAGCCACTACGCGCACTTCATAGGACACGCGGACCACCTTGCTAAGGTGTTCACAGGTGGGTGCCGTAGCCGGAATCCTTAAGGATTCCGTATAGGTCCTCTGACCATGATGGGGCACCGGTCCGCACTCGCGTTTCACCAGCATAATCTTCTCGGAAGTGGTTCGCAGCGAAGGCTGGTCTGCCGTGTAAGTTGCCCGCAGGTGGAGCATGATCAAGAGTTTCCGGCAATCGGAGCTGGAATCATTTCGTACGTGGGCGTGGACCAGCATAAACTGACCCGGGACATAGCCCTGCTGCTGCAGAGTGACCTTCACCTCCACAGGCTTAGTGTGCATAAAACAGAAGTATTCAATTGCCTCATTGGTCGCTGGTTCCCGGAGCATCTTGCTCTCTTGGTTTAGGTCCAACAGTTTCAGCACTGTGAAGCCCACGTTGTGAGTGCGATTAGATGCTCCTGGCTTAAGGAAGGTAACCTTTGCCAAATACCGGATATGTCCGTTGGCACCCTCGAAGGACGATGGACAGTGACTGGGAATGGGACAGGCGAAAGTGTAGGTGTACGTTCCAGCATCCATATTGAAGTTGCTGCCCTGTTCAGAGCCCATGAGGTAAGTGGTAGAGGCTATATAGTCCTCTCGACCACTAAACTGGTGCTTCATCCGCTTCTTGGGATTTTGTATGGCCACAGCACGGCCATGTCTCCGAACTCGCCACTGTGCCTGGGCATAGCCACTGATCTGCAGTTTGATTCCTGAAAATCCAGAAATATTAAGTTGGAAAATTAATGAATAATGAATAATCTTGATGAGACAAATATAGGTTTATAATATATCGTAAGAAAAGACTCAGCAAGCTCGTAAAATGATGATACATTTTGTTTATCTCTTTGCGACCGAGATTATAATTTTGTTTTACTTCAAACTGGGCTGCCTATGAAAGTAGGTCTAATATTACGATAAGATAAGCCTCTAAACCGGAAGCCGCTACTGTCTTTTTGAAAGAAATTTAAATAAAACATTCTTAAACGCTTTAAAATTGCGTATATTCTTCAGAAAGAACGTATCCCTAAAATGAAAACTTCTTTAAATAAAAACCAATTTAAACAATTTAATCCATATCAAGTACTTTTACTGCCAACCCCAAACAATAAGCGTGAGTAACTGCCATGGTATTTCCTCGAAACAAAATTAAATCACTCTGGGTAGATCCCCAACCATAAGTAACAAACTTATCGCCAGTCCTAGGCTCCAGGAATCATCAATTATCGCACTTTTGGAGTGTCCGCATGGTTATCACTTAATTACCCATTTCAATGGTTTGTTGAAACTTTTGCTTTTGCCAAGCCTGACATTATCCGATGCGATAAGATACGCCCAGCTAGATAAGCGAAAGCCCCTCAACTAGTTACTGAAACATTCCGGGGTCCTAGTTCTGGCCTGTGGTCTTACGTACCTCGCAATTTCTTGGTCTTGTTCAGATTGACAATCACCTTGCCGGTTATCACTTGGCCGGTGAAGTAGGTGCCGTGTTCATTCTGGTCGAATGTTATCATGCAGTTTTTCGACATGATGGCGAACTAGTGTGTAAACGAGGTTAAACCCCTCCAGAGCCTTTTTTCTATCGAGCGGTCCTAGCCCGCTCGCTGCCAAACGCGAACTGAGCCAAAACGGCGTTGTTAACAGGGCCTAGACTCTCTCGGCTATTATTTGCTGTTGGCCGGCATTATCTTATCGCCATAACTCTCTACAAAATCCACTGCAGTGTTTCTTTTTGCAGAGTGAGTGCAAAATGACAGACAGTTGGCAACGCGGCGATTTGAGTGAAAATCCACCATAAATATATTATCAAATTAAATGAAAATTCAGTAGCTAAACGTAGAACCACTTGTAGTTACAGCGCCTTATCACTGCTATCGGAACCTTGTGAAACTTGCTCTCATCGATCGGTTTTCCCTGTCAGTTTCGTGTATCTCCTATCGCTGTCACTTACATATGTAAATACTTTGTCAGCAATGGTACAAATTTGTGTTTAAATACATAAATACCTATCGTATTGATAAGATAAAATATAAATGTTGGCCAAATAAATGGTGCAAAAAAAAAAATAAAATAAAAACAGACCCTGTGGGTGACTTCAGTTTGCTGGGAGACACGACGCAGACAGGGCAAAAGTTAACTAGCTCCGGGATTATCAGTAAAATCGATCCAAACGATGGTATTTTGTGAGATTGAGTTCAGCAATAATCCGCAGGGGATTTTCTATGCAGGCCAGCTTGTTTCTGGACAGGTGGTAATAAAAACTGACAAGGCAAAACCAGTTAAAGGTAAGACGTTGATTCATTTTGAATCGTTATCTCTTATCGAGCCAAACTTTTTGTGGACCGACTTAATTGAATTTCAAGTGCATGTACAGCAAATGCTAAAAATAAATTAAAAACTTGTTTTATAACATTTAGCTGTGGTTCTCCAAATCAAAGGATATGCCGAAACCCATTGGGGTGATACCCAATACGATCCGGAGGATCAGTCGAACGGTGAATCATTCAGCGGACATGTGGACTATTTGGCCACTCGGGCTTATCTGCATGGGTCTAGCTCCAGCATAGGTGTGTTCTGAGATGATAAATCACCATAAATCAAGAGATAAAGAAATCAAAGCTCCATTTCAGAGGTGGTTATTGAGCCCGGCACCAGCACGTATAGATTCGCCTGTCAGTTGCCCATCACATGTCCCTCATCCTTTGAGGGGACACTTGGTCGGATACGTTATCTGGTAAACGTGAGGTTCGTGCGCCCTTGGAAGTTTGACCAGAACTTTAATCGCTGTTTCACTGTGCTCAAGGTGATGGACTTGAACACCGAAAGCCTGATGTTAAGGGTATGTTTTTAGTTTACTATTTAAATTGACAATTTAATTACTATCTAGTTATATGATAAGTATATATCAGCCTATAGTATAGAATAAAGGTGATAATCTTTTCTATATTTAATTATTATTTTTTTATTATTTCAGATTCCCAGCCAGGTGGAGTCACAGCGCACTTTCTGTTGTTTTCCCTGTCGATCGTCTCCATTGAGTATGCGCCTCTCCTTGCCGCAGGGAGGTTTCGTGCCAGGACAGACTGTACCAGTGGAAGTAACGGTGACCAACGACAGCGGCGTAGCTGTAGAGGATATAACAGTGAAACTGTCCATGGTGGTGATCTATTATAGTCAACCCCCGTGCGCAGACACCAACAAGGATCACTTCGTGATGGTCCAGAAAACAGGCGAGGGCGTGTCAACCAAAAGCAGCAAGCAACTTACTTTCGATCTGAAGGTGCCACCAACTCCTCCAACCTGCTTCAACTTGTGTAGCATCATTCAGATAGGCTATCAGGTGGAAGCGGAGGCCAGGGTCAAAGGTTGTCACGGGGGTCAGTCCCTACACATGCCCGTAACTATAGGAAGTGTTCCGCTATCACAACAGCTCCAGAAAGAGCCACGAATTTGGGGCGAGGAGCAGCAACTTCAGCAACTAGATGCCAGGGAATTGGTTTTAATTGCAAGCGAACCGGCTGGAGAGACACACTGTCCTCCCAATCCTTGGGCTGCAGATCCTTCTATTGGTGAGTTTAACAGTTTAACAGTTTTTTACTAAAGAATGAAATATCGAATTTTTAAAGTTAAGTTAAAGTTTAAGTTAAAATAGGTCATGCAGTATTATTTATGAATTTAAAGATTATTTATACATTATGGATTTCTGTTTTATAGCACCGCCGATCTATGCCAAAGCCCAACACATCTGTCCAGATCCACACAAATTCGACAAGTCTAAGAAGAAGTCCCAGAAAAAGCCCGCCAAAGGAACACCAGAGAAAAAGAAGGAGGACATTTTGTTCACTCCTTTGTATGGAGTTTTTGATTTATCAAATCAAGTGGAAGAAGTGATAGTAATACCCAATCAAATCAAGACTGATGGAGGTTATGTCAATGACGAAGTCGACAAAAGCACTTGGCTTTAGGAAAATAAAAATATATATTCGCCTTTTGTAAATAATTAAAAAATTATTTAAATAAATATAAATTAACGAAATCGAGACATTACTTCCTGATTGCTGAAAAAGCACTGTGGGAACTTTTTTGGTCCCAGTGAAGAGTACTTGACTGATTTTTGCGCTATCTTATCAAAGTTATTACTCAGAACCAACTGCAACTGAGAGCTGGAGTGAACATATTTATTCGAGTTGAGTGAAATACTACTCTAGAGTTGAGTCCCAGCTGTGGGCTTTTTGTTTCGAGTTAGATATTTTACTATCAGCTGTTTTCCACATTATCATTGCCAAAGGGACTCACATGTTACGACTCAATAATTCAGTGTAAAAGAAATTCTATGATGTTTTGTTTTTACCAATAATTTTATTTATGGTTAAACTGATAAGATAAATCAATCTAAAAAGGCACTAAAGAAGCAAACTGAGGTCTTTTTTGTTCAGTTTGATTGTGTCCATTAAAGGGGTAACAGCTCAACGTTTGACGAAAGTTATAAATTAATATAAAACTGGCAGTGTGATCCCCCATAAAATTAAACCATGGGAATAATTACCCAAATTCTTTTCCACAATAATACTCAAGGAGTGTTTTACGCTGGCCAAACGATTTCTGGTCAAGTGACTCTGAGTACAGATAAGGAGATCCAAATTAAGGGTAAGTGCACAAATCAACTCAAAGTGAAGTGGTTGGAATTACTGGGTGTGATTCATTCCTATCAGAGTATAGATGGAATATTAACTGAACCTTTCTTATTTCTTTAGCAATCCGACTTAAAGTTAAAGGTCATGCTGAAACCCATTGGACTGAAAGCAGGACTGATTCGAACAACAAGGCCACCTCAGAGTCATATAGTGGATTTGAGAAGTACCTTTCCAGTAAAGCTTATCTGTTGGGCTCGACCATCAGCACTGGTAAGATAACTCCTATTAATTCAAATGTTAAGTAATTTAATTTGTATTTTGTCAAAGAAATGTCTTTGCCGCCCGGAACCAGGTCATATAATTTTGCTTGTCAAATTCCAATCAACTGTCCCTCGTCGTTCGAGGGGACACATGGGCGTATACTTTATAGGGTGGATGTCATTATAGTACAGCCCTGGAAGTATGACAGTCTTTTTTCAAGACCTTTTACCGTAATTCAAGTGATGGACATAAGCACCTACAATTCCGTTTCTCAGGTGAGCTATTACATTCTGTTCTGGAGTTTTCTTCGATTAGTTGAGAAATTGATTTTAAAATTAATATAATATTATTATTTAGGTTCCCGTGCAGGCCAGGACTGAGAAGACTTTTGGGGTCTGGCCTTTCCGATCGGATCCTCTGACCCTGGAACTAAACTTGCCGCAGACTGGTTTTGTACCTGGCCAAACTGTCCCCGTGAATGTTTTGGTGGGCAATGAAAGCAAAATCCGGGTGTACGAAGTAAAGGTCGGACTTTCAATGATGATCACCTACCACTGCGACCGGAGTTCAGAAACCAATAATGAACGTAAATCCGTTGCCGAAGCTGAAGGCAGATGGCGTCATGAGAAACTCCCGGAAAATGTACGACTTTCAATTGCTGATTCCCTCCACTCCGCCCTCATGTTTCAATCTGTGCCGCATCATTAAGATCGGTTACCAGATTGAAGTTGTGGCCAAGGTGAAGGGCATGCATATCAATGGAACTTTGATAATGCCGGTGACTATTTGTGGGGTGCCGATATCGCCCCAAATGGTGCAATATATACCAGACAGTTCTACTCCCATTGTCCCAGTGGAGAGGGCTTTAACCTTGGTTGAGGGAGAGGGTGCTTGTGCACCAGCTGCTCCTCCATATCCCTGGTCAGATGATTGCACCTTAGGTAAGCTCTATTGTACTATTTTAGCCCTCAAATAATATTTTTTAAATATTTACAGCACCTCCCAGCTATGCCGAGGCTATGCACATAGAACCGGAGAGGCCCAGTCAAGGACAACAGGAAGAAGAAAATTCAGCAGAGAAGTCCTATAAGCCGCTATATCCTGTCTTCAATGTGCCCAGCCCAACTGAAGAAAAAGGCGAAAAATCAGTCTTGGAGAAAGAGGAAAAGAAATGAAGGATACTGGGAAAATGTATTTAAATTTGAGAACAATCGGACATCCAATCCTGCGCCTGCTGATCCAGGCATCCACAGGCTTTCCCCATTATTTGCTGCGCGGCTGCATTTGGCTAAATGTGTATTTCAAAATTGTGACAGCGATAAGATAAAAGTTGGCCTGGCCATCGCTACCAATATAGAACCATGGCAATGTTTGTTTCATTCTCAGTTCGTTTCTGGCAGCCAAGTGGGCATGTGGGTACTATCGCCGCCGAGAGCTCTCCGCAATCCAATCTGTCCGGAGTTCTCGGAAGTCGGGGAGTAAATAACTGAACATTGGCATTAAAATCAAATCAGTCGTGTTTGCACTGGCATCAGAGTTGGATCGGCCAATAAATATACAATTACAATTACGCTTACGGTTACAATTATGGCTGTTACCTGTGAAATCGACTTCGATAACAATCCCCATGGCACCTATTTCGGTGGCCAGGTTCTCACTGGCAGGGTTACTTTGAAATTGGACAAGATGAAGTTGGTTAAAGGTGAGGGAGTTCCAATCAAGATACTTTCAGAATTTGGCGATATTTCAGGCATGAGTCATGCTTATCTTATCGACCAATTTTAAAGTGCGGTTAAACGAAGATCGAGCACAATGACTCACATTATTTATAATGGCGAGGGAACCACACGTGCAAAATCTAATGTCCACAGAAAGGTGTTCGATGAACAAACACAAATGCATCAATGATAAATATTTGCTGTCGATAAGATTAAATTATTTTTAAATAATCAATGGTTTTCGCATTAATTGATAGTAAATATGGTTAGATACATATTTGTCTACTTCGAAGTGCAAGAACAAAATTTGGGTGTACATAAAATATAAATAAGTTAATCATAAAAAAGTATTTTGTTCTTATATTTTTTTATTTATTTACTAGAAGCTGTTGGTTAAACAAAGAAGTTTAAAAAAGAAAATAGAGTATTGCATGAACCATATATGTGCTTAAGAAATAAGCCTTTAACTCAACTTTATTTCAAATTTACAAAATATAAATAAACTTTAAATAGTTAAAGCCACATTTGATATATGTTTTGGTATATAGGGAGGAAAAATAAAACAATATTTGGAAGAAACAGTCGCACGAATAAAAATGGTACCCTTTTGAATAAATGTTTACCTACCATATTTACCGAATTTGTGTTTATCAGTTGAGCTTTTTCTCCGCAGCCATCACCTTGAACATAACCGGTTATGCCGAGACGAGGTGGTCCGAAAGGGTAACCACAAATCGGAGGAGGAGACGTCGCACCTTCTACGGACGGGAGGATTACATAGCGTCCAAGACGTTTCTTGTGGGATCCAATCTGAGCAGTTCGTATTTCACACATCAAACTATAAGAATGATTGCTAAATGTTAGAACTATTTAAAGGTCAAGTCTCTATTGAGGCTGGCATTCACACGTACAACTTTGTCTGCCAAATTCCCACTGAATGTCCTTCGTCTTTCGAGGGAATCAATGGAAGGGTGCGTTATATGATCAATGTGACTCTAGTCAGACCCTGGAAATTTGATCAGAACTATACGCGATGCTTTACAGTTTTGAAGGTTATGGACCTCAATTTCGATAGTCCACTGCTAAGGGTGTGTCTTAAAGCATATAATTTAATGTAATTTTGTATAAGCTGAGTAAATTATTTTATTTTAGGTACCCGCCCACAGTGAGACCTCAAAAACCTATTGCTGTTGGCCCTGCAAATCAGATCCCTTGGCCCTTCAGCTGACAGTTCCACAGACAGGTTTTGTGCCTGGGCAGAACATTCCCCTAAGTGTGTTAATCACCAATGATAGCCACATTCCGGTGGAGCAGCTCCTAATGACCTTTGTGATGCTGGTGACCTATCACAGCAAGCCCCCATCGATGCCCAATACCACCTCCGAACGGTTGGTGGTTAACACTCTAAAAGGGGACTCTGTGCAGAGAAACTGCAAAAAGCTCTTCACCTACGAAATCAAGGTTCCAGCCACTCCACCCACCTGCTTTAACCTGTGCGGCATCATCCAGATCGCCTACCAAGTGGAGGTTGAGGCTAAAGTCAAAGGCTGCCACAACAATGAGATAGTCAGCATCCCTGTGACCATTGGCAGTGTTCCTCTATCCCTGCATGTGCCAATCCAACCCCGAGGCTTGATCAATCAGCCGTTGGATGTTAATGGGCTGGGTGGTGGAAATGTAGCCACAGCTCCTCCGGCCAATGCATCAAATCCCTGGGCAGTCGATGACTCTATTCGTAAGTTAATCAGAAGTACTTTAGTGTTACAAATATTAAAAGTTTCCATACTTTCAGCTCCTCCGAACTATCAGGAAGCTCTTCACATGCGCAGCACGCTTGACGATAAGTCCGACGACTCAGACGAACCGGAGCCAGTACAGCCCAATACTCTGAATCTGGATGGCAGTGCCTACAAGCCACTCTATCCGGTCTTTGACATTCCAAGTCCTTCGGCTCCACCGCCATCGGACTATACACAGAACTATATGGCCGAGAGAGCCTTTGTCAACCCGGCTTTGGATGTGGACAAGGACAAGGGAACTTGGCTATAAATACGGAAATAGCAAAAAAATATACAATTTTAAGAAAGTTGAAAAATGTTTTTCCGATGTCATGAAACATTAATCACCAAAAATAATAATAAATTCTTAAAAATCATATATAAAATCTTGCGATAAATTCTCACACAATCTGGTACGTATCAGAGTTGCTGCTGCTTAAAAACTTAAGTGCCAAATTGAGATTTTTCTGCTATGTTAATAGATGAAGACCTCTTATAAAAACCCCTTGAGCATAAAACATGAATGCTTGACACTAACTTCTCCAGGGCCAAGGTTTTGGTTGCCAACACAGATAACAGGCCAAACATTTCATAGCCCCTGAAAGCGAACCCCCAGAAAAGTACGCAAGGGCACTTTTGATCGACTCTTATACAGCTTGGTCTCCGATTCCATATCGTTCCCGGAGAAACCCGATCCCGCCTTCGGCTAAAGTTGAGGGTTCTTATCGCCTATCTAACGACGCGGTCGCACCGCAAGCAGTCCAGAAGTTTTGTACTTAAATTAGTCGCAACTCGTTGTCTCAGACCATAGGTTTTAGCAATTTTCACGCTCGGACTATTAATCTGGGAACAAAATGGTCGTTACGTGTGAGATCAGCTTCGATAATAATAGACACGGCACTTTCTACGCCGGTCAACGCGTAAGTGGATGTATAACCCTTAAATGCGACAGATCCAAGGAAGTTCAAGGTACTTAATCGAAGCATTTAAAATAATAATTTGAAAGAAAATCCAAAAGGTTTGATTAATTGTTTAAAATTAGCTCTACCTAGCCGCGGTATTATAAATATTTCCTCGATAACGATATCTGTATATGTGCAAATTGTATATATTTATGACGACATTGGCTTTGGCGGACATTCTTGGTTTCGGAATGTGTGAAGTTGATTGATAACACCCCACAGCAATTTTGCTTTTGTATTATTTTAATAACGAGATTAGGTTAAGTGTTTGCGCTAAAATCGAATACGATTTTGTACCGAAAATTTTAATTATTAATTAAATAAGCAAAATGGAAAATTATATAAGGAATATTTGGTTTCTTTGAATATTTGAAGTAAGTTAGTACATAAACAGATTAGTTAAGATTAGAATTGGGTTAATCATTCTGTACTACTGATAATGTTAGCTCACTCTCTCTCCTATGTTCTCACTACATCTCAGCCGTTGTGGTCAAGGTGGTCGGATATTCTATAACCAAATGGAGCGAGAAGAGTCTGGGCTCGTCAAAGCTCTATGCGGGTCGTGAGGATTATCTATCTTCCACCACTTATCTTGTGGGCTCCGAGCCAAGTAAGTAGATGCGGTGGAATTTATTGATGTGTTTACACTTTTAAACATTTGTATCTCTGGATAGACAACAACAGACACACCATTCAAGCTGGTGTACACAACTACAACTTCGAGTGCCAGCTGCCTTACCAGTGTCCTTCGTCCTTCGAGGGTCGCCATGGCTGCATCCGCTACATAGTGAAAGTCCTGCTGCTTAGACCTTGGAAGTACGATCAGGCCTATACAAAGGGGTTTACAGTTCTTAAGATGCTGGATCTGAACTTTGACACTCCACAGCTAAGGGTGAGTTATAGTCCTAAAATTAAAAAAAGGCAGATATAGACTTATCTTTATACTTTGTTATCTTTTCGTTCCTCTCGCCTTAGTTGGCTGCCCACAGCGAGGGCTACCGCACTTTTTGCTGTGGTCCCTGCAAGACAGATCCTCTCAAATTAGAGCTGAACCTGCCCCAAGCGGGATACGTCCCCGGCCAAAAGATTCCCGTGACCGTGGTGGTAGTCAACAACACTGGTGTAGCCGTCTCCGAGCTTCGACTTTCACTCGTAATGCTGGTGAGGTACTACAGTGTAAGCCCGGAACATTCACGAGTGGAACGGATAATAATATCGCGAGCCAAGGGGGACTCTGTGCTGAAGCAGTGCACCCGATCGCTGACCATCGAACTGCCTGTGCCATCCACTCCGCCAACTTGCGTGGAGCTAAGCAACCTCATCCAGATAGCCTACCAATTGGAGGTCGAGGCTTTGGTGAAGAGTCTACGGGAACAGCAGCTAATGGTAATGCCGGTTACCATTGGAACTATTCCTTTGGCGGTTTCAGGCATAGTGCTTCAACAACCTCCGCGACGTAGTGCCCACTATGAGGGACCCGCTTCCAGAAGGGATCCTCCCGATGAGCTACCCATGGTTACTGCCCTTGGCAATGTTCCCAACGATCTGACGCCCAGTCCAAACGATTCAGGTGAGATCATGATTTGGTATTCTTTAAGGAAACTAATGTCATTTTCAAGAGTACGTGTCAATGGAACTACCATGATTAATTGCAATCTTATCAAATTATTCTTTAAAGAACTAAGTATGTAGTTATCTGTAGATATCGCTAATTATACTGTCAAAACATAGACGAAACGCAGATATACAACATTCTCTTCTGAAACTGGTACTTAAATCTATAAAATTGACATCTTTAGAACAACTTTTACTTACTCTATTAGACTACTCCTAGAACTTAAAATAGTTAAATAACTTTAAAAGATTATCCAGATCTGTATGTCCGCCAAAAATATGTTTCTCTCGTTCAGATTAATGGACATTCAAACCAAATGGAATGTAAATAAAATGCGTAGGAAACGAGAAAGGTGCAATCAGAAGTTGCTTAAAGGCATATTGATTTCAAGATAAAGAAAAATCTTTCCACATTTGAACGATAAGAACGCATGAACACCCTCAAAAATACAATATAATTTAAAAACCAACAAAGTCAATAACTGGGACAAAGGTTCCTAGAGTTCCCTCAACCAACCGATGTGTAATCAAATTTTAACCAGAACTTACAATCCTATAGATACTACATAAAATTCTTAATTATTACATTTTTACTGTTTTTTCTTATTCAGTCCTTCCGAATTATGAGGAATCCCGGCACACGCAGCGCGGCAATATCAACGAGGAAGAGCTACACGCCTTTGGAATCAATGAGTTTGCTCCTCTTTATCCCGTGTACAGCATTCCCAGTCCTACACCCATACTTTCGGCAAATGCTAGGAATGCGGGATTCACCAACCAAAGTTTTGTTAAATAGAGGCTTGCTTTTTCAACATTTTCAAACCATTGTTTGGATTCTATATAAGTTACTGTAAGCATCTGTATCCGAAAATTAAAATTAAAGTGATCAAACGACAAATTCTACGTTGTACCAATGAAAAAAAAGCGGATAGTTTAATTTATAAACATATTAATTGAAATACTACTTTAATAGCCAATGAATTTTAAGCATCGCTTAAGCGTTTAGAAAGATAGAAATATTGGCAAATGTTTTACAATTTCAGCGCTATTTTCCTCATTTGAGTTTCCGCAAAATGGCGTGGAAAATGTACTCAATTCCCGAACCTGTGATTTCAAAGCTTTATCCTGTAGGCCATTTTGTTTCAAATTTTAACAGTGTTCTATTTTCATTTGCATTGCTTTATAATGACATCCTGTTAAGCCGACCCTGTTAGTTCCAAATTAAGGGAGGTTTTTAGGGCTTTCAAAAAAGCTTTTGCATATCGTAATAGAACAGTTGTTATACACCTCAAACAAATTGTATAACCCCTTTTTTTAGGATAATTATAGAATAGAATATAATATAACAGTTGTTATACACGTCGAACAAATTGTATAAAACCTTTTTTTGGGACAATTATAGCTCATTTCTAAAAGAAGTTATAGCGTTTTCAAGTCTCCAAAAATTTATAAAAAGAGTACTATTATAGCATTATAGGAACAACAAGTGTACGAAATTTTATAAAATCCTTTTCCCAGAATGTGTTTATAAACTGTTATGGAATGTTAATCTTATATTTTTTCATAAACCTTTTAGACATTGCTTCGTATGACACTTTTCAAAATTAAAGGAATAAAAAGTTTAACTATTAAACAGGACCTTTTTAATTAATTTCAAAAATTGAGTTTTGTATAGAAATATACTTTTAATTAAGGATAAATTAATATTTAATTTTTCATATCAAGAATAATTTTGTATAATACTATTAAAAGTTAGTATCATAAGGCGGAAATAAACACCGAATGAACACGGAAGTGGTAAGACAAGAAGATGTCTACTTCCATTGGAAAAACCTGATCTGATATGCAAAGTTACTTTTACTTTAGAAATCAGTGTAAGTTGTAGAAGATTTTTCCAATTTCGAATTTAATTGAAAGCAGCAAAAATTAAATGTCTACTTTCAGGGCATAACAAAACATTTTATTAAAAATAATAGCATATAGATCATATTATAATATATTATTTACGGTTTACCCATATAGATTCCTTTTTAGGTATCCTTGACGAAATAAGGTGAGATGTCTGATTTTAATTGAATTCTGAGTGTTCTTTCTTTAAATCAATATATCTGTTTATTTTTGACCTGACAGCATTGCACAAAATGCTTAAAACAAATGAAGTATTTTTACTAACAAATCATTAAAAAACACTGGTCTAATCAAAAAATGTTTTAGAGTTCTGTGGAAGTTAACTTTATCAAAATTTGCTGTTTTTAAGAACATGGTAACCTTAAGGTAGGGGAACATTCTTAGAGAATAAAAAATATTGTGCAGTACACATTAATAATGTTTGTTTTATTTGCTTATATTCCTTTCACTTCTGACACTCCAAATATATTTAAATTTTAAATCAAATCAAAATACGCAAAGACTGAACAACAGATGGGGCCAACAGTCGTGTTTGGGGCATCATCTGCTTGTTGCTAATAATTCTTTTATTTTGAAGGAGGTTTTTCTTCTTAAGTGATAACGGTGTAACAACTTAAAAAAAATTACACATACACACTACATGGACCTAACTGAAACAAGGACCTGTCCGTTCTGGAATGATGCCAACGATGCCTTATTAATTAATCATTTACTGACTAACTGTAAGCCAAAGCCAACTATTATTTAAAACCACCATTTCACTAATCCATCTCAAACCCCACTTTACCAAACATATTAAAAATAATACTATTTCTAAAAAAAACAAACTTATATCACCTTATTTAAGATAGTTCTTATTTAGCCAAAATGTATATATAAAATAGTACTCATGTGATTAAACAACCGAGCTGAAGGCCCCAGTTGCCATTGCTCAACATCACCGCTGCCTATTAATTTTAAATTACTTGGGAGATCTTCATAAATAAATAAATAAATTAAACCTAAAAAAGAATACATTTTTTTAAATTCGATTTATTTTAAGAGCGTTGTTATTATAGGAACCAAAATCATATTAAAATGTGTTTTCTTTTATAATTTCTCTTTTTTTTAGATGGTATAAAAAATAATAATAGAAAAGGAAAATTTTGTAATTACAAGGAAAATGGAATTTTCAATCTTTTCATATCTTTTAAAAAGTAACCTTACTAAAGGAAGCGTGGTCCAAAAATACGTATGCAAAATCATCAATACGTGGAGGTGTATTTCGAATAATTCACTTCATTTTTGGTATTCTTACACATTACCGGATGTGAAGGGCGGTCACCGTAAATGCTTAAATCGGGCTCCAGGCACGCTCATGGTGCCATCAACCATGGCAACATTTTTGGGGGACGAAAAACAAAACACCAACCCACGGACATGCTTAGTTTTTATCATTCGCGCATTTGTTCGCGGACTCGTGTTTACCAGTGCCCCATCCCCAGCTTCCCACGTCTTTCCCCGCCTACGAGTCCAAACTTTCAGGTTGGTAATCTCTTGGATTGTCCCTACTAAGCTCCCATTTTTTATGTGCCACCACCTAGGGGCTTCCATCTCCATACTCCCAGAAATATCTGGTTTAGGTGTAAGCGGATGCCAAGCAATTGACACGTGGGAATTAAGTGCTGAAAGCATTTTACAAACTCATAATCCATCTTTTTCTAACTAAAAATTCCATCTCATTTCAATTGAGTTCACTTTGAATTGCGGCTGAACTACACTCTCGCTCGAATTCTAGACATTTAAGTGGTGAATGCAGAGGAAAGACAAATTTCATAATTAGACTTTAGCTTATTTAATATAATAAATAGATTAAAAGTTTTAAATTTAATCTATAAATCAGTTTAAGTCTGCACATGGATTACTCTTATATAAGAACACTAAATATTTCTGTGATATTAATGCATTCTAGTTTCATGTCTGAATCAAAGTCTAAATACTCGACTTATAAGGGGATCAACAAAAAAATGATGAAAGCCAATCATTTCTTAACTTCCAATGTTTGGGGGTAAGAAAAGGGACTACTATTCTGCACAGTGCATTCACATTGAGTAGTGTAGACATCGCACCCAGTCGAATCTAGTTGGCCAAATGCGCCGAACTAATGACCGCATTAAGTAATTTCCCCCGCACTTAGTCCCCCCGAGAATGACCCAGTCAAGTGGGGATACCGGGGTCTGGATTCTCGACAGACTCGCAGACGCATTGGGGAGCTGTTGTTGGCCCTCTGCATTTAAATGGCTTACTCAATGGCGCTTTCGTGGTAATTGGCATTTGGCTTTGGCATGTTCGAATGCCAAACTGGCTAAACTAAATGCATAACTAGTTTCGGCTTCTTGTTCCGAGTGGATTCTGATGCTTAGTCGGTTGTTGCTGAAATTTGGAATTTAGATATATTTTCCGGAAAGGAAAAACTGAGAAAACAGAAAAAACAAATTAGTTGAGCTAAGCCTGCGGTGGGATGAATGCTAAAAACATGCAGATCGTTAGGCAGTTCTCTTCATTTGTATTTCTTTTTTTTGCCTTTTGTGTAAAAGGCTCTATTTAAGATATTCAAACTGTTAGGGAGCTAGAATCAAATGTAAAATGGCTTGTTACAAAGTAGAAGCATTCGAGTTTTTACGGCTTTGGCTCAAAACAAATCCCGAGGCGTTGTTTAGACTTTTATTATTTAATTTATTTCGGTGTCAGTTTAAAAGCCATTTATTCATGTGTCAAGTGCCTGCAATTGATTCTGCCTGGGCTCCTAATGGATTATAGATAATGCCAATGTACGTGCCGCAGAGATAGACATGTTTAGCCCAATTTGCTGGCCAACATTGTACATTACGGACCACGACCACCCACCCACGCAGAAGACGCACAAGAAACCAAAATAAAATTAGCATTTTTTGTGGATTCGATTTGCCGGTTATTTTTTCGGGTTAGGTTTTTGGCTTTTCCCTTGGGCCAGGCTTTTTCCTTGCCTCTCTCTAGGTGGAAAGCTGTTACTGTTTTCCTTTCTTTTCGGTGAAACGCAACGTGTTTTTTGTTTATCCCGTCTGGTTTGCACCTTTGCTTGTCTTTGCCCCTGAGTGGGTGTGTATGTGTTTGTGTGTGTATTTGCTGTGGCTTTCACGGGAATTTCACCGATGGTTGCTTCAGCTAAACCACCACCCCCAGCCACTCCGAAACCATGCGGAAACACCCAGCCACATCAACAGCGCTTTTGCCAAACAATCGCAAGTGAATTTCGCCCCGCAAACGAATTTCAGCGGCTTTGACGGCAGCAATTTGAGAGGTTCCCAAGCCCCCAAATCCTTGTCCTTGTATTCAGTATCCTTGTTTGGCTTCGACAGGCGCTATTTGAGTTCGAGTCGAGCAATAAAGATGATTGGGCACTTGTGATTAGTGGCGGAAAAGTGGAAAAGCAATTCCCCCACAACTACCCAAGGTGGCCGAAATAAATCCTCTAAAATTGCTACTCCGAATGGCAGTTTCGTCTTTCGATTTGATTACGAGGCTGGCCATCGTTTTCATTCAAGTTGCACAGCAAGACTCATTATGGCTTCATTAACAGGCAGCTCGTCTTGCTCTCTATAAACCAAAAAGTTTCTTCGACTCTGGCTAATGGCGAAAACTCGTCACGCACTCTCAGCCAAAAACTAAAAACTTTATTGTCACTTGTCTGAAATATAGGAAAACCAGAAGCACACACTCTCGCCCACACGAAAAAAAAGACAAGAATGGGAATTGACAAGATTTAAGCCGGGGCTGACTGAAGTTTTCTGTCGACAGTCTAAGCCACTTTTCAGAGCAACAGAGACAACGGCCAAATGCAACCGAAACTTTTCCGGTTTTCCCCCAAAAAGTTGCAGAGCAATGGGGCATGCAGCAGATCCTATTCAATAGACTACAGGTGGGTCACTTGGAGAAAACAGATTTTTCCTATTGATTAAGTGAAAATTCAGT